AAAAAAAAAAATTGTGTTTTCTTACAACAACACCACAACAAATGCCCCCTAATTTATCGAATATGTTCCCTTTCAAAAAGTCCTGGTTGTGCTACTGCTCCAAACCATCGATGAAAGAACGAACCCGTCCGCGTACTGTTTCCTCTCACCATACTTCTTCTGAACATAGTAGAAACCAGCAGGTGGTATTGTTCGCGGTGATAAAGTGTTATTTACAGCAACGGTTATGCGATTTTCAGCATCAAACAAAATGTACGTTGTCACATCAAACTCGAATGGTAGGTGTCCACCAATGTGAATGCCAACTATTTTGTCGTTGAGAAACTAAAATCCAAAAAGCGTAGCTGATTGTAAAGAATAGTGAGAAAACCCGGTTGCATCAGTAGTGAGAAGAAAAAAACAACAGCTATTCGAAGAATAGTGGGTAAAGAAACTGACAACGAAAGCTTGGTAATTGACGCTCGAAAAGCGAAGGAAATGGCGGTATGGCTTATCACGCGCGCTGACTATAACTTTGCGTTGGTACCAGACCCATCCGACATGTTCTCGGACTTGTCGATCCGCTGTTAATTCGTTGTAGGCCGATGGAACAGGCATCACAGTCGCATTCTGAAATTCTGAAAGAGTGTACTGGCCCAATCCCCTCTTCATTCACAGTAGTCTAAGTTGACGAAATTTCGACTTAATTTATTTTTGAAGTGTAAAATAAGCTAAATTTTGGGACAGAGGTTATAGATTTGGATACAGGGAGGCTCAAAAATTGTTCCTGGATTTATAATTCTGTGCGTAACAAAAGGCTTGTTTCTGTATATTTTTCCCTCAGCAACAAATTTCCTTTGTCCTCCCAACTTAACCTACATTCTCCTTGAGCTGAATTATAAGGGCATATATACCAAACTCATTCCACCTTAATGTCTTTGGTACACACAAAAGCTCTCAACACTTATACATAATACCTCAAAAAGTGATAAATCATATAGATGCCATTTTCGCAGGAGACCAATTGAGGGAGAATTCGTTTCTTCTCTAACAAATGTCCATAAACCATCGAGCTGGTCATAAAACCGGCGCTCATTTCGCTGTAGAATTCAAAAAATTAAGCCGTTCTGCTACAGTTTATTGATTTCAACTTGGTTGATCCCTCACAATTTATAGCAAATGAGTTGTTAGTTTCTTATTTCAAAGTGACAAATGATACGATGAGAAGTCCTAAAGAATACAGAAGGTGGAACATTTGATTACTAGAAATTGACCAGTGGCTAAACGCAAAAAGAACGAAATAGACTTAAAACCAATTAAATCTTGGTTGATGCATGACGCTGTTCTCAGTCAGTGCTGTCTATTCGTTTTAACATTTCAGTTGAAACTCAATGTTTCTCAATATAAAAATTTTGAAAGTGGAGGCTGGAGTGATACTAATTCTTGCCTGCACTTGTAATATTGCAGAAATCGTCGGAAAACATAGCGAAACTAGCAATGTGAGCATTACTCGAATTCCAGCTTTTTTGAACCAAGCAAAGGAATTGGAAGAAACTTGTTGTTATTGTTGCTTTTTATGAATAAACTACCGCTGAACGTCGCACATCTCTGAGCGTTCCTGCAAAAAAAGTGATATCAAAAAAAAAAAAGCTGTATAAAGATGGTTTGCCTATGCAATTGAGACAACAACTGGATAACAACGCAACTAGCATTTTAAGCAAAATGACGTTTTCGGAAATTTTTGGTGGTAAGAATACTTCGGCAATTTGTTAGAGAAGCTACTGCAGCACTCTTTCATTCAGTTTTGGACTTCAAACAGCGATCTTTTACAATTTTTACACTTTATTAAGACGTTTAGCTGTGTCAGGATTGACAGCAGATTGATTACCAAACAGTGCAGTACTGGTCAAAATAAGTGAAACAGTTGTCAGCTCGAGAATTTGCCTATGAATTGGGAGCTGACTGAAGTAAATATTTAGCACCTTTTTTGAAAAAATGGCCAAAGCAATTTTCAAAAAGTAATGAAATACCGATGTTTTTGGGCAGTTGCTGGAGACAAGCGTGCAACTCAGGGGTAAAAGAGCCTGAAATACAATTATGTTCGGCATTCAGTCATCGAGGACAGCATCATGTGTGCGCCAGCAATCGATGATGATTAGTAATAATTGAGTATCGACCGAACTTGTTTGTGTATTAGCTACAATCGTAGCTTACGATTTTGCTTTGGAGTATAAAGCCGGCTAATTCGTGTTGTCTTTCTATTGTGTTGTCTTTCTACTGTCATGCAACAGCTAGAAAGCTGAATCATGCTATTCTAATTTTTATGCACTCTGCATATTTATGCAGATACAAAAACGCACATTGTGACGATTCATGGCGTGTGTGTGTATTTGTCTGTCTGTCCGGGTATTACAACTCGAGAAGTTGAAAAGCTTTGATGCTAAAATTTTTCTAATGTTTTCTCTGACCATGCACTATCCCAGTAGCATAGTAACAACTTCTAAGAAAGTCCGAGTCTTATGTGCTGGTGCATGAAAGCTTTTGTGGAAAAACCGCTAAGTTTTGCTAGAATTCTTATCGTTCATCTGGGAAATTACATATCTAAATTGAATTTTCACTTATACTTGAGCCACTTCTTAGGATACGTCAAAGATATTTGTAGCGAAGCAGAAATTTTAATTACTAGACAGTCTATGAGACTGGAACCTTGTAAGGACATTTTATATTCTCGTGTGATCGAAATTCAGCTTGGAGGCTAAATTTCATACAAACTGGTATGACAATGCTCAGTTTTGGTCGATACATTAAAAGCGAGTGCGTTTTGCGGACATTTAGCGGTCTGACTGCTTCAAGTTTGGTACAAAAATGCGTGATCTTCTAAATAGCTCTTTGTTAGCAAAGCCAGAAAACCGAAACCATGGTAATATGCTCGAAAATTTTGCAAAATCTAGAGTCAAGCAAATATTTCTTATTTCTAAGCCACGCATGACTTATTTAATTATATTCACTCTTAAGCAAGTATAAGGAATTATATGGTGTGAGATAAACAAACAGCGAAGAATGGAGAAGTTGGAAGAAGCACTGGAACGTAACGATGAGACAGGACAGCTGAGCAAGGTATCAGTGTAATTTATATTAACTTGCCGAAAAAATTCCAGTTCTATCATTGATTTTTTTGAAGAAATCGTTTATTCTTTGAACGTTTTATTAGAAACATGCGAATAAGCAGATAGACTGGTACAAAAAGTATGTACGTATACCCGCAGTCGAGCTTTTTATGCGTTTCTTGCGTCTATACAACGTAAAAACGCATATTGCCGAGAGGTTGTCTGTGTATGTGTCTGGGTGCTCGTCTATGCCAATTTTTCTAAGTTTTGTGCTGTGAAATAGCAGTAAAAAACGCATATTGTCACGGGGTGTCTCTGTGTGTGTGTCCCACATTTTGTCTTGCATTTTCAACTCGGGAACCACGAAAACTAGGCGGCTGAAATTTTAGTATAATGTTTCCCGCCAACGGATGACGCTACAAATTTAAATTCAGCCTTTCCGCACTCGCGGGTAACAAGTACGGCCTCGTAAAACTTTTAGCGAGCAAAATCATTATCTCGGGAACCACAAAAGCTAGGAAGCTGAAATTTTAAGGGTATGTCCTCTGCCCATGTACGACCCAGAGAAATTAAATTCAGCCTTCCCGAGCCTGCGGGTAACATGCACGACCTCGTAAACTTTTAGTGGGTAAAATTTTTATCTCAGGAACATTAGAGGCTAGGGAGCTGAAATTTTATAGGTATGCCCCTTGACCCCGTGCAATCCAGAAAATTTAAATTCGGTTTTCCCGTGCACTTGGGCCTCGCGTACGGCCCTATGAAAGTTTTGCCGGAAAATTATCTCAAGATCCGTGAAAGTTAGAAAGCTGAAATTTCAGGACGATATTTTCTACCGCTAGTATCACAAACTCAAATATAGCTGCCAGAATGCAGCGATCTTACGTAAGACCACTTGAGAATTGTGATGTAGAAGTCGCTAGTTCAGAAGCCGCCGAAAAACTACAAGGTTGAAATTTGGAGAGATGTTCCACATTCATATTTTCAAATTCAGTTTTACGTACGGGCACGTGAAATTTTCAGTGAGAAATCCCTCACCTTAGAAGTCAGACAGCATATCTAATGTTTTCTATATACGACAGTATAAGACGGTTATATTTTTAGTAAGCAAACGTCAGCTGAACGGAACTGTGCAAAAGTCATGATCGCATCGGCTACCTTGGTGCGCTTCGCTATTTATTCATGTTGAGACCTACAAAAGCTACCAGAGTCGAAACTTTGGAAACTTAATCTATATGCAAGTACGGGCCCTATTCCCAAAATGTCCCATTTACCCATGTGATTCCTATGGGGACGTGAAAATTTTTTGCGGGTAAGTTGATAACTCGGAAACCAGTGAAACTAGAAGGCTAAAATTTTAAGAGGATGTTCTCTTGCCACATAGAACGTAGAGACTTCAAGCTCTGCCTCTAGTTGAAGCCGGTTCTCACGTAGAGACTCGTGAAAGTTTTTGGCCGTAAGTTGCTAACTCGGGAACCAGGAAAGCTAGAAAGCTGAAAATTTAAGGGGATGTTTTTTGAGAGTTCTGGTGGCCAATCTCAATTTTTTTAGCTACAAGCATCTGCCAGAAAAAAACAGTTCCATTAGCGACAAAAACCAGTGAGAAACTAAGCAAAAAATGAATCTTCCCATCGGCTGTCGGTGCGCTACAATTATTTGATAATGAACAGACTTTTTCAGTGGCTAGTACATTAGCCTGGCCAGCTAGCCATGGAAATACAACATAGCGTGCATTCACATACACAAACGCACCCTTGGACAGTGAAAGAACAAGCCAGGTAGAAAAGCAACAGGCTTGCCTGTACGATCATGCGTTTTGGCATCAGAAGCTCATTAAATGCATGAGTGGTTGTTTTACACCTACCTCTTGTTCTTACTAGCGTAAATCATCATAAATTTCGCATAAAATAAATAAATAGTTTCTATTTAACGATCGTTTTTCAAAAGTAAGCTAGTTGTTCAGTGAGCAATTTTCCCGCCAAAACTTTTAGGTGTCCGTACGTGAGAATTGCTCATGCCTGAAGGCTGAATTTGGAATATTTAAGTTGTACTTGAACAGACCTAAAATAACAGCTTACTAGCCTTTCTAGTTCCCGGGTTAGTAATTTTCCCGCCAAAACTTTCAAATGCCCGTGCGCGGGCACCTCACGCATCTGGGAACATAAATTTGAAACCTTTAAATTTCACGTGGACAGGGAACATCCCCCTAAAATTTCAGCTTTCCAACTTCTCTGGTTCTATAGTTAGCGATTTTTCTGCCAAAAAATTTCGTGGATCCGTACATGAGAACCATGCGTATCTGGAAGCTGAATTTGATATTTTTAATTTTAACAGAGGGTTGGGAACATGCCTTTAGAATTTCAGCCTCTAGCTTTCCTAGTTCCCAAGTTAGACATTTTCCCGCCAAAAAATTTTACAGGGCCTTACGTGAGAACCACGTGGGGGGTTGAAGCAGATAAATTTTTGTTGTACGTTTGCTGGGAGCATCCCCTGAAAATTTCAGCCTCGTCTCTTTCCTGGTTTCCAAGCTAGCGATTTTCGCACCAGGAACCCACACGGAGCCAAACGCGGATAACACGCACTCCTGGGAGCTCAGTTTGAAATCTTTGGGCTCTATGTGGACTGGAAATATGACTCAGCTTTCTAGCTTTTGTGATTCCCGCGTTAGCGATTTTCCCGTCAAAACTTTCACTCTCTCGTATGCCGGGTCCAGACGTGAGTGAGGATTAGTACCGAGGTCCTGCGGTGGCACTTAGCCAGGGACCCACTGGCAAGATTTTGGCGCCGGAGCTTGCTTGGGTGATGAGCTGAAATACCCAAACACACACACACACACACACACTCATACACACAGGAGTCGTCACAATATGCGTTTTTGTATTTTCGTATAAGCAAAAACGCATAAAAATGAACATCGATGGCCTTGCCAACGGATGGTTGCTATTAGTATTTTTACTACTATTGGACTACATCCTGTGGATCTCCGTCTCTCACTGGGAGCGAAATGAAGAGGATTTATTGGCCACTGATCCACAAACCACTGCATTATAGTCCACAGATTATACCGTGCAAGCAGTAGTGGTTTTTGAGGACATATCTCAACAGATTCAGATAACTGAATAAGCAGCATATATTAAATGAAAGTATACGGACCATGATCAAGTGGCCTGGCATAGCTACGTACGACGTGTGAGAGCATTCCAATAATATTATCAACATAGGATACACTTATAGCCGAATGGTCTTGATATAACTGATATTAAAACTGGGTGCTTTGTAAACCAGCACAAGCACTGGACGCTAAGCTACTGGTGACAAAAAAAAAAAAATAATACTCACAGGTGTCCTGCAGTGTACATTGCTATGACACAAAAAAATTGAAGTTTCAAGATAATCGAGTTGACAAATATTTTTCACTGCTAAAGCAATTTTCGATTTATCATTTTTTTTTTTT